CCTGGGGGTAAGCAGATAAACACCAACATTTCATTTTTGGGTGAACTATCCCTTTAAGGGATGCTTTATTCATGTGACTTAGACATGATATGCCTTCATTAAAAGACCTTAAGACACAAAAATTGGCACTTGTGCTTGACGCAGATGCGTCGCAAGAGTGAGCTGCTCGGCAAAAGCAATTTTAGCATAGACAAGCCGCAAAGACAAATGCATAACAATAAAACAGGCACATGAAACGTCACCAGTAGACCTGAAAATACAATATTATAATCTGCATGTGTGTGTAAATGAACACAGTGCTGCTATTCACTCAATTTGATGAACGTGATTTGATAAGATATATCGCAGTTTATTTTGATTAATTGCGCAACCCCACTTGTTTCATTTAATGTACACTGTAAAACTTTACTGTAAATTTACAGGTAATTTCTAACAGTATTGTACTGTATTTTAATAAAACTATCATACTGTATATTTAACAGAATGGCTGTAAATGTACAGCATTTTTCTGTTTTCAGCACGCAAAATTCGTAATACAGTATCAGGCTGTAAAGGCATTGCATTGTGGGATTGATTTCCTTCGCGCTCAATTTCTTTAAAATGTGAGCAGAGCCACATTTAATTTGTTAGTGGGATATTCTTATGAACACAATAGGCACAACGTTACACATGCAGACGCCAGTCGTTTGTGAATTTTAAAGTTTTAAACTTTGAGCAGTGAGTTCACTTTTTAATCTATAGCTGCCTGTGACGCTTAATTATAACTAACGTACAACTTTGTGAGACTATACCGACACGGCAATAAAATGAGAGGATGATGCAGCAAGAAGACGGGGAGAATAAATTGTGTCTGTGACGAAGAGAAATGAAGTTCGTAGCAGATGGATAATTGTTTGACTGAGCATTGACACGGTAAGACATTGTTTTATTCGATTGCATTTCTGAACTGTTTGCACGAGTGGGCTGATTTTGGGAATGATGGCGTTGTCATTCCACACCGACAAACGCTACCAAACAGACAGCACACGACACGCTCATAAAGTTTTTTTTGGATCGGTGTGTTAATCCTGTCATTTTCGAAGATTGAACATGAGAAATCGAAATTATAATGCCCGAAATGTGACGTGCTCTTTGCTGCTGTCTGTCGGCGCGTTGTGAATTTGCTTAGCCTGTAATTAACGTTAACCGTTACAAGTATGTTAAAATCCGAGTGAACAGTTCAGTCTGTTCTCAACTATTCACCAATTAACTTTGATATTTCTTTTAAAACGTAAACATGTATCATGCCATTCGCACGACCTGCATCTGATTTTCGATTCATTTTTATTTCAGGCCGAGTAATCTGATGAAGATTGACTGAGTGCTAACGTAAGTTCACCATAAATAGCCTTACAGTTATAATTCACTTGTTAACAGAAATTATGTGGTGCCAGTTCTGTGATAGTGCATTTGAATCGGTTTTATCATACTGCCAGCACATGAAAATACATAGTCATGTTCCTAATGCTAATTTGACATGTGGTATTCCCAGTTGCTCCAGAAGATTCAAAAAGTTTGCTGCTTTTAAGGCTCATATATTCAGGTATCACAAAAAGAGGGACACAAAGACGTCTGCTGAGCAGTTAATAAGTGATGCTTACACTTTAGTCTGTGACATTGGTGTGTGTCAGGAAAGATGTAGTGATTTGAAAAACTTCATTTTACACCTGAAGTCTCATATCAAAGAAGGCACCAGAATGCCTTGCCCATTTAAGTGTAATAAAAGCTTTTCTGTAGCATCAACACTGACCTCACATTTATCCAGGTATCACCGCAACTCTTCAGCAGATAGGCTTCGTCATAATATACTACATGTGAACTTTCCAGTGCAGAGGCCACGTGGTGAGGAATGCAATGTGGCTGAACACTCAAATGCACTGTCTGATTTGTTTAATGATTGTGGTGATGGTGAAGAGCAGTTGGATATTGCACTATTGCCAGATAATGCAAATGAATCACTTTTTTTGAAGAATATGGCACTGTTTTACCTCAAGTTGCAGGCAAAGCATGTTCTCCCATCATCTGTAATCATATGGCTGTACAAGTTGGCAGCCTACTCTTCCACCTGGTAAAAGTTACGAAAGTCTTGAAGTTAAGCGTCAAAAGATGGAGGAGATACATCGTCACGAGGGAATCTCTGGAGCACAAAGAGGGGACGTTTGTAAACTCATGGAGGAGACCTATTGCCTCCAGCGTCAGATGATCAATGAAATCCCATCCCCTACAATTGCAGATTTAAGAACCAAATGGCCGTATCTCTTCACACAAAGGCATATATATGGCCATTTTGAGATGCTTACTGACAAAAAAGAGCACAGACTTTTGGAATTGTCTATTCAGGAGGGTGGACCAAAAATTTGCCAGTTTTTTAAAGACAAACCAACTAATGAGGAAGTTCGGAATACACTCTCCAGTAGTGAAAATGATGTTGCTGCTATGGTCCTACAACTACTACTTGCACACTTCAAAGAGAAATTAGATGGTCTTATCCTTCAGACAGATGTAAGTAGAGATTATTTAACATGTCACATTCATTGCAGCATGTTTTATCTTTTGGTTCTGTTGATGACGGTTGTGCTGTTTTCTTTTACGTTTTTTCAGGAATTCGCAACACCTTCAGATGTCCAGCAATCTGTACCTTTGCCAGAGAGTCCACGCCTTATAATTCTTGGTAAGTAAACCTTAAAGCGATACTTCAGGCAGGAAACAAAATTACCCCATGTTTTCCAGATGCACTGTATGTTTAGTGGAATTGTGATTTTGAAGTTAAGCTGACTTAAAGGTTTAGTTCACCCAAAAATGAAAATTCTGTCATTAATTACTCACCCTCGTGTTGTTCGAAACCCGTAAGACCTTCGTTCATCTTCGGAACACAATTTAAGATATTTTTGATGAAATATGAGGGCTGTGAGGCAATATGTGGCATGACCCAGATCTGGCGTAATGACGTCCTCACGCCGGATCTGGGTCAGCGCTGCCACACGCTCGTGTCATGGTACTGTCGTGAACGCGCGTCCAAAGTGACGCAGTAGAGACGAAAATTTGGAATAAATATTTTTGTTTTCTTTGCACAAAAAAGTATTCTCGTAGCTTCGTAACAGTTGAACCACTGATGTCACACGGACTACTTTGTCGATCATCTTGGAACTTTTCTGGACCTTGAACGTGGTAGTTACCTTGCTGTCTATGGGAGGGTCAGAGATTCCTCATATTTCATCAAAAATATCTTAAATTGTGTTCCGAAGATGAACGAAGGTCTTACGGGTTTCGAACAACACGAGGGTGAGTAAATAATGCCAGAATTTTCATTTTTGGGTGAACTAACCCTTTAACTAACTTTAGCATTACCTCCATTTTACCAATGAAGCTGTTCCTTTAAATAGGAAAGAGCTCATTGCTACAAATGGAAATATACATTACGGTATTTCTTTGTTAAAGATGAACCCTAAGTGTTTGTTTGGCTAAAAGAAAATTAAGTAATGAACGATGTGAGTTCAACGTAACTGTTAAAAGAACTACAGTATAAAGTTTGTGCAGGAAAGTCCTATGTATAAACAACTAAATAACATCACAGAAAAAGACACCGTAGGTTTTTCAAATGTTTTATTAATCTCTTTTTTTTTTTTCATTTTCAGGTCAGTCTCTAAGCAACCAGCGGTGGATGTTGAGCGTGGAAGGGCAGGTTGTGTGTGAAGGAGAGCAGCCCAACATTGTATCTGGTCTTGCAGCACTGTTGGCCTCATTCTACAATTTTAACCTCCAGTATCAGGAAGAGACAGCATGCACCCTTGAGTTTGTTCAGAGGTTAGACACTTACGCACTTGCCACTCGTATACACCAAAACCATTTTCCATTTTCAGAGGTTTACACCCACCTGACTTTATATGAATCGTGTTGCTTTCATGGGCATCACTGAATGTTTCTATCTATTGTAATAGTTGTGTATGAGTCTCTTGATTGTCCTCAATTTAAACAGATACAAAATACAGTTACTGCTGGACATGAGTCAAATATCCAGAAATGCTGAAAAAGCAAAGATTCAGGAGGACCTGGATTATTTTTCTGAAGATCAGTGGACAGTTTAATGACTCAGGACAAACAAGAAACCCTTAAACAACTATGACAAAACATAAAAACTGTCATTGATTGTTCAGGTAACATCATACAGTATTAAGAATCGGGGGTGTAAACTTTTGACCTGGGCTATTTTTTAGAAATTATGTTATTATTCTTTGGTGTGAACTTTGTTAACCTTACTTCCGTGAAATAACTTGCTCAGGGCAGGACTAAATAAAAAAATAAACCTTAATTTAAAAAATTCCTCTTATTTTCCCCAAATGTTCAGCTTTTTCCAGATTCTGCAAGGCGGGTGTAGACTTTTGAGCAGCACTGTATGTTAAAATTAATTTAGTCACTAACCTTTTCTTTAGAGTATTCAGAAATGGCAGTATTCATTCACAAAGGTTTAATACAGTATTATCGCAGACGATATATATCGCACACCCCTATGATGAGTACATAAAATATTTCACATGTAATCTAACACAAAAGATTGAGGACACATGTTGTTGTGATCCAGTGCACAATACAGCTCAGATTTCCCCACAAAATCTGACAACAGCTGGAAGTGTAGAAAGCATCTCTGTCTGATATTTTGATATACTATACTTTTATGCTGTTTTCATTTTTGAGACCGCTTAATGTGGGTTGCAGCCCTAACATCCAGATTTCCATTTTGAACGGAAAGTTTTTTTTGTTTTTTTTTTGTTTTACAGAATGTTGATCTTCCCCAGTTAACAACTGTTTACACCAAATATTACAATTCAATTGCACTATTACTTAATGAATATTTCTTTGTTTTCCAAAATAACTGTGTAAAGAAATATTCATTGTGTAAAATAACAAGATGTCTTCAATTATTTATCACCACAACACACAAAATTTCATCACATTTTTATTCATGTTATGCAGCCTTGGTTGAGTACCTGAGAGTACACACAAGTATGTGATTTTTTAATAGCAGAATATAGTTTACAAAGACAAAATGCAAAGTTTTGTTTGGTTCCATGTTTTCTCAGTGGAGTGCGATGACTGTAGTATAAAATTGCGATTTCGGTGTCATAACTATATCCAAACAAATCCTTGAAACACATCTGGTTGAGAGAGAGAGATAGAAATAGGCATAAACATAATAGTAATTTTTGTTGTTTGTTTTCTGCCTTGTAGACGCTTTCTCGACATCAACCTAGAACATGGATCAAAAACCAAGAAAGGGAAGGTGACTTCAAAGAAGACTGGCCAAGTTGTGCAAAAAAAGAACACTACTGTGAACCCACAGGTTTCCTCTCTTCTGAGAAAACTTGCAGACTTCGAATGGAATTTCGTTTAGACACTTCCACTATCCACTGTAATTGGACTAAAAGGAAATAAGGTTCCTGCATTGTTAATAATGTGCTGTTAACTGTTAATTGCAATACAAAAGTACAGCTGGCATTTCTGCCAACATGTTTATGTAATGCATTTTTTTCCCTCCTGACTTTCTTTAACCTAGAACATGGATCAAAAACCAAGAAAGGGAAGGTGACTTCAAAGAAGACTGGCCAAGTTGTGCAAAAAAAGAACACTACTGTGAACCCATAGGTTTCCTCTCTTCTGAGAAAACTCGCAGACTTCGAATGGAATTTCGTTTAGACACTTCCACTATCCACTGTAATTGGACTAAAAGGAAATAAGGTTCCTGCATTGTTAATGATGTGCTGTTAACTGTTAATTGCAATACAAAAGTACAGCTGGCATTTCCGCCAACATGTTTATGTAATGCATTTTTTTCCCTCCTGACTTTTGCCAGTATTTTACTGTAAATTTACAGGGAAAAGTTTTACAGTGTAATATTTGATTTAATTATTAGCTTTTCATCAACTCATGAACCTCCTGCAGTTTCCTCACTAACCCTCAGGATTCACAAACTCTTGTTTGGCAAGGACTGCATTAGTGTTTGCCATTGATTTGGCCTTAGGCTTCGTGTATAATAATTACAAAACATGCAAACAGAATATATGATCACAACTGGCAGAGCAAAAGCACAAAAAAGTGTAAAATTGCACAAATGTACAGACTTCTTTGGTAATCTATGCATAAACAACAGTAGGACACATATTCCCCTACAGCAGTGGTCACCAACCTTTTTAGGCCCAAGATCCCTGACCTCGGCCTTTGTGAACGTGAACTGTGCATTTTCTTTTAGAATTCAAATAAGCTCTGGAGATTAGGAGTGCAGTGCACTACCCACGATTCCTCTGTGGTTCATCTTAAAATAGACCTCGGTTTTAATTGCTTTCAGGGTAGTGCATGCAGGGGCCATTTGAAGTAACTGCACGTTTGCTTGTGTGTTCCAGCTGCAGCTGTGTGAGTCGGTGAGAGAGTTTCTGTGTGTACAGGCCCAGAGAGAGAGAGAGAGAGAGGGGGGGAAAAGTGGAGCAACAGCCCTAGGGAAAGGAAAGAGAGCGAGCTGTGTCCAGATAAGGAGTGATTCATGAAAACGAGAAAGGTCTGGCTAAGAATGACCCGATCGACAGGGTCTGGCTCACGGGATCAATGTGTATTGCCTGTTGAGGCTGATACCTCCCACTAATCACGGTGTGACACTGGCGGTCAATAGTGTGGCCTCCTTTGCCGCCCACCGAGACCTCTTCCCATTCATACGCAGCATTGTTTTAATCACCAGTCCTGTTAATCTCATTTCTGCCCCCTCACTCATTCTCCATCTGTTCGTTTCTCACGGTACGCTCTGCTTCCTGTTCTGATGCATTTCTCTTTCACTCACCTTTTTCCTCTCTCTTTGCTCTTGTACAGACTTACATAAGGTGCTAATAGACTCGAGTGTGCAGCACTGCTCAGTGTTTCAGCCCAGTCCAGGCCCACTTTTGTGCTGCAGTAATGACAGCAGGCTCCTGCACGGCCATAAGCCGAGACTCTGGAAACGATTGGGCTTACTAATTATTATTGGGTTATGACTGTTTATCTCAGTGACATATCTATGTGAGTTTCTCCTTCTAATCTCATTACATTAAAACACTTGTTAGTGGTGTGAATTTACATGACTTTTTACAGATCAACACATGCACTCCGGTATTAGTGAGAACAAATGATCTTTGTTTACTTTTACTTATGGGAATTATTATTTTCTTTTAATTTATTCCAGTAAATATATGACTAATTAACTAATTAATAAAAAATGTATATAAGGAAACATCAGTGAAAGGTTTTAAATCTGAATATAATTTTGCTTTTTTATGCTAAACACAATTAAATATGCGACTGGTATAAAGAAGACTAATACAGTATATGCAAATATTTACAATGACATCACTGTTATATTTTGAATAACAAAACAAAAAGTCTAAATAGAGGTTGTACGTTAAACAGTTTGAACACTATTAACTGCAGAGTTAAAACTAATGGAGGAGAAAAAGATAAATAAATTGCATTTCCTGAAGGCAGCATTAAAATATTGTTAAATGTGTGTATTGAAGTTGAGGTTTTATAGGTTCTGTAAAAATGAAATGGTGCATCAGAGCTGCTTACACATCATTATGACGTGTGGTTTTCTGTCAGCTGTAAATGAGAATCAAGTCATATCAAATCAAGTCACCTTTTTTTTAATATAGCACTTCATACAATAGACGATTTTAAAGCAACTTCACAGTATTAAACAGGGAAGTAACGGAATCAGTGGTGCCAACTTCAAAATATAAGACAAATTAAATTCTGCTGTAAAGCAAGCTCTAAAATTACAATAGTGTCACAACACTATCTTTCCTGTGTAAATGTGGCTGTAGATGGTTAATTAGATACAAGAAAAAAAAAACTAATCACAAATCACACACCAATCAAAATTCAGTATAAAAATATTATAATGGAACCATCATTATGAAATTGTCCACACATTATTTGAATAAAATTAGCCTGTACATTAAGTGGTTTGGCTGAATTAATCTCAGTGATTTGGAACAAACCTTTGTCAGAATGTTTGAGGAATATCAATGCGTTGCATAATATACATCTACACTAGACAGTCAACGAAGACTCCTTCCTATTTTGGAAGAATTGTACAAAGTCTCATAGTAGATGTGCAATTCTTGCAGATCAGTCTCAAGGAGGAGGAACACGTCAGTGGGACTGTGGTGTAGTACGCAAAGCATGAATCATATTTTATAATGTAACTAGTGCAAGAGGGAATTGCAAGTAGCAAACAAATACAGCCATTCAGCTGTGAAGCAGGAAAGGATTGAATAGCTCAAAGCCTGTGCTGAAGCGTGACTAACAGACAGATGGGGCGGCAGACTCACAGTTTAAACTATGGAGAGCTGAGGCGTATGGAGCAGTTAAATCTGCGACAGACAAATGAATGGAGACACATTTCACCTAGACCATTAAAAGATACTACAGGCCTCTTTCCACCTGGATGCTCTGGTTTCCAATGTGATCACCCTACATGAAAAATATTATATGCAAAGATAACACACACACACACACACCGTCTGGTTCACTATCCTTGTGTGGACTCCCCATAGGCGTAGTGGTTTTTATACTGTACAAACTGTGTTTTTACAATCTAAAAAAAAAACTAATTCTGTATGATTTATAAGCTTCTGTACCAACGGGGACCTCAATTTAGGTCCCCACAGTGACACAAGACCCCATGAGTTGGTGTTTATTCAGGT